AACAATGGTAACAAATATCATCTAACTGTTAAGAGTTAAACCATTTAAATTTTTTAAGACACAATCAATAATGATTTTATAAAATAATTTTTACAAAATTAAAAAAAAAAAAATCTTTGAAGAAATTTAAAAAAAACAATTAAAATAATAATAAAATAATAATAAAAAATAATAATAACAAAATTCTATTTTTGTTAAACTTCTATTTTGTGTAAAATTCTATTTTTGATAAAATATAATCTTCATAATCTCTTTGCACAAAAAGTTTTTTAAAACAAAATTAACAATAGTGTTAAAAAATACTATTATAATTATAAAAAAAATTGGCAACTGGTAATAAGTTTTTTATAATTTCATGTTGAACGAATCATCATTTGCGAAGAGTTGGTCAAAACAAAGCCGACGAAACATCCTGTTTAAAATTACGTAACCATTTTGTCGACTCTCGTTGACCCCGAATCGGTGTCTCTCCCTTAACGTCTTGTTACACGTTCTCTCGCTAATTATCACGGCACCATTACGAGACATCTGCCAGTTTCTTGATTTTGCATTCTACCGTGAGAAAGTGCATCGAACAAAAATGAGTCGAAACGAAACATTATTTTCGTATTCTATGATCTAATAATAAGCTATCAACTAATTGTAGATTTATACTTATACTAGATTAAAATAGAATTCAAATGATTTCAAATAATTTAAAATTTAAAAAATTTGTGAATTTAAGTTTCAAATAATATAAAATTTAAATTTCAAATAATTCTCACATGAGAGAAGAAACCTCAAATAATAAATATGATTAAGAATTTAAAAATTTACAATGATTTTAAATAATATCAAATGAAAAAATGCAATTGAATTATAATCAGTTTAAATTATGATCATCAGATTGATCTGATTTATAATACTTAATTTATAATACTTAATTTAAAAAAAAATATTAATTTTATTACTAATAATTGAAAAATTGATACGTATAAAAAAAAATTCTCTCGAAACAATTAAATATCAGAATTTGCATTTAAATCACATGAAAGTATCTTTTGAGTATCTACTTCATATATTATGAATGATTATTAAAAAATTAGACAAATCTTAAAGTTTATTTATTTAAATATATTGTATATTGTATATATGTATGTATTTTGTATTCAATTCTTCTTACCATATTTATTATATATACATGTATAATCATAATTTAAGAAAATAATAAATATTTTTAAAAAAAAAAATTTTTTTTAGATATTATTTTCTTTATTAATATAGAATTTTGCATAAAATCTATTGAATATAATTGAATATAATCTATTGAATATTTTTGTAATTAATTATACATATAAATAAATATAATAAAATTAATATGTATATACATTGATATAATTTTTTAATAAAAAGAAAAATGAAATTTAATCGGTAATTAATAATAATATAATAATAATCGGTAATTAATAATAATTAAAACTGAATAATCTAGTATACATTTGTTTGCATAAGAAGTGAATGTTTTGTTTATGATCATAAGATTGCGCGAGAGTTTTGTACATGAAGTCGCTTTAACCTCAATTTCTTTTAGTCGTTGGGAAAACGTACTGGAGTATCTAAATGCCCCGGATTCATAGAAACGAATTGTGTTTATCACCAACATGAATATCATGTCACTTTTGTCATCGTGATTAGAAATGTTGAACTTTGACGGAAATACTACTGCAGAGAATCGAAATTATGCAAATTTTGCAATATTGTTATAATGTATGTAAAAAAACAATCTTAACTTATTATAGAAATTTAGAATTTTAAAATTTTTTTTGATTCGTTTAGAAAATAAATTAATATAACATTACAATCTTATTATAAAGTTAAATATTCATATAAAACTCAGATTGTAGAATTTTTTAAATGCGTATATCGGTGATATTATTTTTGATTTATAAAACATAATTTATAAAACAGTTTTATAAAACATGAAATAATTTTTTATAAATAAAAAAGGATTTTTTAATAATTTTTAATAAAAAATATTATAAATATTAATGTTATTGAATTTTTATATGCATTTTGTTAATTTGAATAGAAGCTTGAGTTAGTTTGAATCATTATAAAAATTACATTATTTAATAATAAAATATGATTAAATATTAAAAAAATTTAAATGAATAATGTAAAACTTATTTAATTATATAAATAACATTTATCATTAATAATTAATTTAAATATTCTTTGAATTTTAATTTAAATTTCAGTTAAGTTTGTTAAATTAAGCTTCAAGGATGCTAATCAACAACATTTATAAAAAATAAAGATATAATAGATATAATAGAAATATTGTAGTGAAAAAAAAGTATTGAAGAAATATAAATATTGTAGTATTGTATTTACTAAGAAAGTCGTGAAATTTCAAAATTGAAAATTTACTCACGGTTTGCACATTTTTGAGGTATGGGAAGAGATAGGAATCTTCCTGGCCTGTTGCTTTGTGGCCGAATTTCATTTATAGCTGGTTGAGCGTACACCAACGCTACAAAAAGTACCATGGTCAGCGGCACCAACATCATCTAAAAAGTGAATTTATTTTTAAATGATATATAATAAATAATAAATTAAATAATAAAATATAATCAAAATAATATATTATAAAAATTGGATTAAAATATTTTTATGTTTTGTTTGCTTTTTATGTAAATAAATTAATATTTTGTTTTGGAAATAATTAATATTTAATTTAGAAATAATAATTTTGCTTTAATGCATGAAATATAGAATATTTTTAAAAATAATAAATTTTAAAATATGAGAAAATATTAAATATTTTTTATTATTAATTTTTATTATTGAAAAAATTTTATTTAAAAATTTGTAAAATAGAAATAAATTTTATAATTTCATTTTTTATTTTTAATAAAATTTT